GCAGGGCGGGCGCCGCGCGGAGTCAGGGCGGGCGTATTCAATGGAAGTATGCTACCAGCTGCCGGTGCTGCCTCTGGACAGGCCGGTCCCCCAGCACGTCCTCAGCCGCCGAGGAGCCATCAGCTTCAGCTCCAGCTCCGCGCTTTTCGGCTGTCCCAATCCCCGGCAGCTCTCACAGGTAATCGCCTCCGCCGCCGCACCGGGGCCCACACTGGGGGGCTTCTCGCTTTTGTTTCCCAGGTGCCCACCGGCTTCACCTCCGCGACACCCCAGCTCTCGCCGCCTAACCCGGCTCCAGCTTTATCTATGGTTGAGGGATTCCTAGCAGGCCCTTCGAATTGAGTCTTTCTTTTTCATCCCTGCTGCTGTCCACCTTCAGTTCGCCGGCCTCCTCAGATCTGCACCTCCGGGAACACCTCAGTGCCTCCCCAGGCCGTCACTGTGCCAATCGGTTTAAAGCCTCAGCATGATTTTGCCCTTTCTGGCTTTCTTGACGTCTCCGTTCGGAAGTTGGACCCTTTTCCCCCGCGCCACAGCTCCCCGTGCGCCCCACTGCTCCTGTGGTCTTTCGGTTCTCAATGAGCAATAGGCCCAGATGCCTTGTTGCTATTTTCTCCCCAACTCCTTCGTTTCTACGGAGGAGCCTAAAGTGCTGTCAGGAACAAGTCTGCAAATTAGTAGCCACGTATCAGGTTTGTTTTTAATTTGATGTGATTTTTGGAGAGAAACCGCTGATGAATACTCACAGGAACACAATATTTTGAATGGTCCAGTACCAGTTGCTCCTGAGAGCTCATGTTTTTCCTCTGATGATGCCTGTGGTCCAACTCATTTCTGGCTAATTTTAATTGCCAGATTTAGAATGGGAGGCAAAAACAATTTGGCTTTGTTTATATATGAGCTTAGTGCCATGACTTCTTGCTCTCAGAAATTCTATGGTCCTGAATACTTTTAAAATCAAATGGTTTATTTTTTTTTTTTCTGTTGTTTAGTATTACCTTTTATGGGAATCTTTTTCTTTTTCCAGTTATATTTTAAGTATCTTAAGCAAGGTTAATGTATTTTTTTTTTCCAGATAGTGCGGACAGCACCTTTTAGAGATTTTGCTTAGGATTGTTGTCCAGTATATATCACTTGTCAGCTACCTAAGTTGTTTGTAGAAAGAGCAAGAGCCATATCTAAGTTTTTTCCTAAATCCTTTTTATTTGGAATCAGACTTCTTTCACAGCACAAGGAGGTGTGCTTACAAGAGTATAGTTTTGTAAGAATTACTACAACGTTAAGTGGCATTTCAGGTAATACTGCATTGTTACTTATTTTGGAGGTTAGTTTTGTGATCTACACTTTCAGTACTGCTAAAGCATTTTCAGGTTCCGGAATTAATATTGAAGATGTATTAATACACTACTTAAAAGGTTTTCAGTAGTGGTAATTAAAAGTCTTTAATGGTAGTAGCTTTATTCATTTCTAAATATTATTTTACTTCCTCAGATCAGGCACATGATTAACATCCATTTCGTTATGTCTAAATAATAATGGGAACCACTAATCATTTATAAATTATGAAATATGCCAAAGTTTTTGTGCTCCCTAAGGAGAAAATGAATGAGAAGGAAGATTCCAAGGGATTTAAAACAAGGCTGATGCCAAGATTTCTACCTGATGTCTTAATTAATCCACAGAGACCAAGTTTAAGTTCTTCCTTTTTTT